TGAAAACAAGAGCCCCAAACATTTTTTTTGCCAAAAAAAGTAAAGCATGTACACTAAGGAAAATCTGGGGAAGAAGAAAAGTAACAGGAATAAAATAAAAAGCAACCATTAGCCTACACGCTGAGATGATCAACATTTATATTATTTCCTTCTATATACTTAACATAATTCTTTTATTTATTTTTATTCATAGATAAAAACTGTGCCTATTTATGGTGTACTATATGATGTTTTAAAATACATAATTCTTGTTATTTTACAAAACTGTAATTATTCTGGAAAATAATTTTGCATTGGTTTCAGATTTTTTCTCTGTAGTGTTGGGGATTGAAGCCACTACCTTGTGCATGCTAGGCAAGAGCTCTACTATAGAGCTACATCCAAGCCCTTGATTTCAGGCCATAAAAGAATATATACAGGGCTGGGGATTTATCTCGCAGGCACAAGGTCCCCAGCACCAAAAAAAAAAAAGAATATATACAAAAGGTAGAAATAACAGATAAATAAAAGTGAATGCTGAATTTTGTAGGTATGCTGTATGTCAATGAAACGTTAAAGTACAATAAAGAAGAAGGGAGGGAGGGAGGGAAGATAAAGGGAGGAAAAAGAAAAGAAAGCCCACTTGCTATACTTTAGATTAGGATTGGTCCCCAAGGATATGGGGAAGGCCTGGTCCCCAGTGTGTTGGTGTTGAGGTGGTGAACCATGGATAGGTAGGGCCTAGGGGAAGGTTAGATCATAAGGTTTCACCCATGGGAGGGACTAATGTGGGGGCCACAGGAGCTATTAGTTCCTTCAAGACTGTGCTGTTATATGGAAGCCTAGCACTTCCCCTAAATCCTTCTTCCACATGTACCACTACCACTCTCATACTCACTGCTGCTGTTCTGATGCCCTCGCCAGAGTCAAGCAGATGCTGGGGCCATGCTCTTGAATTTCCAGAACTGTGAGCTAAAAACTCTTTTCTTTACAAAGTACTCAGCTTTGAGTATTTTATAACAGCAACAGAAAATGAACTAAGACTCCACTAAATAGAGATGATGATGTAAACAAGTCTTCTAATCCTCTCACATATACGTAGCAACACTTATTCTCTTACAATCATAGATTCCACAGATGAGTTTTTCAATGATGTATTCCCAGATATCCTAGAATCACTTGCCTCTTTGCAGTTCCAAGGGTTTGTGTTGGGCCAGGGATTTAGCTCAGTGGTTCTGCCTCCTGCCTTGCAAGCTCAAGGTCCCAAGTTCAATCCCCAGTACCGAGAAAAAAAATAAATAAAAGGATCCCAAGTGTTTGTGTTTCTCACCATGAGTTCTCCAGTCTACCATATACATTTTTTCCTGCTTTTTTTTGTGGGGGTGGGAGAGGTTTGAGACAAGGTCTTACTTTGTAGTTCATGTTGGCATTGAACTCACTATGTACCCCGACTAGTCTCGAATTCTCAATGATCTTCCTGCCTCAGCCTCCCAAATGCTGGGATTACAGGCATGCGTTGTACACCTAGCTGTACTTTCTGAAGGAATTCATCAGTTTGGAGAACTGGGATCACTAATCATCAACCACCTTAGCTGGATCTCCTGCCTCTGCCCTGCTCTCCGTTAAAGCTCTCTTTCCTAAGCTCCCATCCACCCCTTGTCGCTGTTCTGTTCTGCACACACCATTCTAGCTAACGTTGGTTCCAGCAATATGATTTTTATTTTTGCTTTACAAAAATAACATTTAAATATTTGAATTCTTTTCACAATAACATGCAATAATATTACATATAATTTTAGTGATAAATCGCTACACATTGTACCACATCAACGCAACTGAGTACATTTTCTTCATCTCTGTTGAAATTTATACATATTTTATGTCTTACAGTGAATATATTTATGTTGTTAAAATTTTACATATGATTACACAATATTTTTTAGTCCCTTTCAAATGGCCATATCATATATTCCAAAGAATTGAAATACCTTCTAAGGACCTGAAATAAGCTGAAACCATTCTCTAGTTATTGGATACTTTATATATTGTATTTTACAATCTTCTTTTTGCACTTCCTGTATTATAGACCTTTTCTCAATTCAATACATATATTTTCTACATTATTTTAAGTGGTTGCATAGCACTCCATAATATGAATATATTTTTTATTGTTTGATATTTTTAATTTTTCCTTTTAAATAGCTAATTTGTTCCATACAGCAAAAATCAGAAATGATAAAATGACCAAAATAAAAAGTCTCTTTTCTTTCTTTCCCACAGTATGTAACTTCCTTTCTTAGTATCTGCTATATTCTTAGAGTCTATTTAGGCAGATGAAAGCAATTACAAATGTCTTTTTTTTTTTAGACAGTCTTGCTATGTAGTTCAGGCTGCCCTTGAACTCACTATATAGTCTAGATTGGTCTTGAATTTACAGTGATCCTCCTTCCTCAGCCTTCTGAGTGCTGGAATTATAGACATGTGCCACCACACCTGACCAAATGTCATTTCTTATTTTTGTCTTTATCTTTTTTTTTTTGGTATGGAGAATCGAACTTAGGACCTTGTGCTTGCAAGGCAGGCGTGCCGCCATGGAGTTAAATCCCCAGCCATCTTTACCTTTTTAACCAGAATGTAACATACACAGCATATACACTTTCTCATTTTGCTTTTTTCACTTAATAACTTATATTGGAGATTGTTCCACATTCTTTGTTTACAGCTATGTGGCTTCCTCTCTTGTTGTGCCATCTTTGACATCCACATGATGGACATTACAGTCTTCACTTCAACTCCTGATCCTATCTCTACCCATTATCTCCTAAACTGTGTACCATCCATTATTACAGTCCTTTTTTACAGGCTAAAAACAAAACAAAAAACCCTACCAACATGTCATATCTCTTGTACTAGAAGACTTCACTCAAAGCTCTAGTTGGAGGTGTCCACAGTATTCATCCACAGATTCCATCCAACACCCACCTCTTCCTTGTTCCTTTGTGACCTGTCCTCATCCTGTCTCTATTAAAACTCATTTTTGCATGGTAATCTAGTAGAAGCATTCATCAGCTTGGCTTATTTCTCTGTTCTCCTCCATTTAGCTTCTGAAATGGGTTCCTCATCTTTGTATCCTCATGTACTCCTTAACCTCTTGTAAAAGAGCTTCTGTCCACCCTGCCACCTTCACACAAAAAGTCATCTCCTTATCCTGTTATGGCCACACTCCTTCTACCTTGGTCCTGACTCACTTCTTCCACTCCTACACTCTGCTGTCCCTGTGACCTCCACCTTAAACCACAGCCTCACCCTAGAGAGTCTGTCTTCCCAGGAGCTTCCCTCCTATCCTCTCCCATCAGTTTATTTCTTTATTACTCCTAAATCAGATCCTAATTTCTGATTTTCTGAATTATTAATAATAGGCTTCTAATAAAACTTTCTCTATCCTCTTTTGCACCCTAACTGACAACAGCAAGTATTACATCATTTCCTTCTTCAAAACTCTTATTTTCAAACCAATTAAGCACCAACTCCTCAATCTAATATTCAAGTCCTTCCTAACTTTAACTCAATTTATACATTGGCATCAGTCAGTATTATCTTCCACTGCTACACTAAGTATTTCTGAGCTCCACGTGAAGCAACAGCTTATTTGTCATGCCCACCTGATGTGCTCTTCTACCTCCAAGTTTTGGTTCACCTTTTTTTGTTTTTGTCCATCTGGATTACACTTCATCTGTGCTATTCTAAATCTCATCCTCCCCTAATTTCACTCATCATATCTTTGCCTACTTTCTGCCCAATATATTACAGTTAACTGAACAGCCATCACATTTCTATACTAGATTTTAAACTCAGACTGCACTTAGTGAGCCCTGCTATGTGCCAGGTATGTGCTAAGTGATCTACATGCACTATCTCATTTAATCCTCATTTCAACATCATTAGGCCAGAGCCTCCTTCAAACAAATTGAGGCTTAAAACGATTAAGTAGCCTGCCCGATATCATGCTAATGATGGCGAGATCAGCTCCTTCCTTGAGGTTCATGTTTGTAGTACAATATCCACCACCTACTCTGCACCCGACCTGTGCATGCCCTGTCCAAATGTTAGGCGGTGTCTGCATATAGACTAAGACTCTAAGGAGACTGAGATGGGTCTGTGTGTGGGAGGCAGTAAACAGGATGGCAAAATTGTCGACGATCTTTCCAAATTTCTACTATTCGGTTATAGAGGTTTTGAAATAAGCATTTAAAATACGTAGTTACTGAACAGCATTGCAATTACCCTTTAGTTGTCTCCAGTTGCTACCTGTCGGTTAGTTTTGTCTCTCTGCTTTCATTGACATCCTCCCCTCAGGTTATCTCTATCCTCTCGTTTTCCCACAGCTTTTCGGCATATTGCTCAACACAGGAAGGGCATACTTGTTGATTTTAATGTATGTGTGTTTGTATGTGTGCGCAGCAACTGGGTGGAGGACGTGGGTGTGGGATACGTTGTGCATTCCTTTCCCTCATTCTTTTTCCCTTGAGCAGCTGCAGCTTAGATGCTTTCCTACTCAGGGAGGGAGGAAGAAGGGGGAGGAGGCAGAACCGCAGACCCTTTAACAAGTTGTCCCTCAGAACAGGTGTCTCCCCCGCCTCTGGCAGGAGAGGGATGACTAGATACTTAGTGACATCAGCGCCCAGCCAATGAGAAGTCAGGCTTCGGCAGCCGCCCCAATGGGCGGCCGGGGACGGGCCCGTTTCCTGGGAGCCGGGCGGGCCGCGCTGGTCCTCCGGCCGCGGCTGAGTCTCGGTTGCTAGCGCTGCTCCCGCTGCTCCTGTGTCTCCCGGCTGCTCCGGCCGCTGCAAGTCCCCGACGCTCGGCGAGGGAGGCTCCCGGGCTCCCCGCGGCTCGCGCTCGCGCCGTGGCGCGGCTCATGCCCCGAGGCGCAGGGCGCGCTAGTGGACCGGCCGCCTCGGGGAGATAGGCCCCCGGGGGCGGCGCGGACCATGGCGCGGAGACCGGGGGCGCCCGCCGCCTACGGGGAGGAGTTCTCTTTCGTCAGCCCCCTGGTGAAATACCTGCTCTTCTTCTTCAACATGCTCTTCTGGGTAAGTCGTGAGGGTGGCGGGGGCACCTGAGCTGCAGGGCACCTTTGGAAGGTTGAGGAGGGACAGCCCGGGATGCCCCAGTGCCAGGAGAGTTTTATGGGCTAGCGACACTTTGCAGGAATTTCTCCTGGGGAGGGACCCCCGGGTCAGGAGGGGGCACCCGAGGGAGGTGTGCAAGCGACTCTATAAGGGTGAGGGGTCTGAGCCAGGCCAAGTAAGCGTGTTGGGGGAGGGGCTGATTTTCCTGTTGGGGCAGAGCAGCCCTATGGTGTTAGCGCGTTCAGGATTGGGGACTTTCAGGACTGGGGGGCTGGGAGGCCCCACTGGAAAGCAAGAAGAGGAAGGGAGGAAAAACCCAAATCTCCTCTCCCTCTTACCTCGAGGAGGAAGAATTAAGGGACTTCGTCTCTTCCCTCTCTACAGGCCTCTGTTGCCCTCCTCTTGGCAAAGGCTTGGGGAGCTGCGATGGCCTCCAGGTCTCCTCCTTTCCACCTCAGCGCTGCCTCAAACTTTGCACTACCTCTCTCAGGACCAGACTCCTCCCCTGGAGCCTGACAGTCCTTGGTGTTTTCAAATAGGACCCAGTGTTGGCTGGAAGGCCAGAGGCTATTTCGAAATCTCCTGCTTGGAGCTGGAAAAGTGGAAAAAATACTGGCCTGGGGCTCCTGACACTTGAATTTCCACCCCCAGTCTACCCTCACTGTTGACTTGACTGACCTGGGCAAATATGTGTAAGTCTGAAGCCCTTCATTCCCTCCACCATAAAAGCAACCTGGTTTGATTAGGGAAAGCAGAAATACTCTGCCAGGGCCAAGAATTTAGCTGCACCACATCATGAAATGCTAGCTTGATCCTATTTCATAGTGAGTGTCTGTGGGCCTCTCTGAATTTGAGAACACAGGGAAATCCTTCCCTGTAGCCCCACTTTTCTGCCAGCTCCTCTGCCATACCAGAGCTACCATTCTGAGACCCCATCATCCTTGTCCACCTCAGCCTCAGACCTACAAGTTCAGATTTGCAAGAGAGTGGACTTGTGCGTCTAAAATATGTTTCCTAGGAGAAGGAGCAGACCAGACATCTAAGCCAGCTGCTGGAAAGGTTTCACAGGGGCCATGGTGTGAAGTGCAGACACAAAGCACATAAGTGCTAGCCTGTTGGGACAAATGAGAGAGATCCCAGAGGGTGGTGATGACAGCTCACTCCCAGCCATAATATTCTTGGGAAAATTAAAGTTTGGGCTTCTGTCAAATTCTCAGTTTTAGAACTGGAAAAAAAAAATATTGCAGGCATCTTGTCCAGCATCCACACCTTATATATGAGGAAACTGAATCACAGTGATGTTAAAATATTTTGTCCAGGGTCCAACAGCTGGTTAGTAGGCTCGGTCTGGTGATTTTTCTACTGAACCATGGTGCCTCTAGGGGAAGTCCTTGACCCAGATGGCTGCTACTATAGATGGGGTAGTGTTGCTATTAATGGTTAAACAGTCAACCCCAGTTCCCATGGTCTAGGTTCTACTTCTGTTGGAGGTTAGGGAAAAACAGAAGAAAACCCCTTACCACCCCATTGCCAGAGATGGGGAATGTGCTTAGGGGAACTCCTCACCTAGGGGCAAGTTCCAGCGAAGGCTCCTTCAAGCTCATTCAGTGTGCCAGGCCAGAATATGCTGGTACCAGTATGAACTGTCATCCCAAGAACCTCAGATCCTCTTTCCAGTTTCTTCTCTCAGCAAAGGTTCTACTGCTTTTGGAGCATTTGGCACCTTCCTCTTTTTGTTGTTGGTGTTTTGGCTTTTGAGAGACAATCTCCCTGGTCTTGAACTCACTATGTAGCCCAGGCTGGCCCCAAACTCACAGCAATCCTCCTGCATAAGCCTTCCAAGTTCTGGGATTACAGGCGTGCACCACCATGCCTGGCTCAGCACCTCACTCTTATCTGTGCTTCTCAGCAACAGCACCCGGGTACCTCTGTTATCCTGTATTCACGTTTATTTTCCCAGACTTCCCTGCCCCGCCCCACACCCCTTTTATCAGACAAGTGACTGGGAGGTCCAAACCAGGGGGAGAGTTTGGCTCCGTAGACCCACAGACCCTTGGTAAAAATGCTTCATTCAAGGTCAGAGAGGACCTGGCTAGCCAGACTGGCACCACCCCAAATTAGAGTAAAGCCCCTTCTTGGCCTCAGTGTAGACTCAAAAAGTCAGAGACTCTAGAAATAGCACATTAAAGGACAAGAGGTCCAGCTTCTTTCTGGCACCAATTTACTGTGTGACCCTAAGCCAATGTACCTGTCTCTCTGTCCTGAATCTTTCTCCTCTAAAGGAGAAAATTTATCTGCCTCTATGAACTATTTAAAGATGAATGAATAACTTGGGGACTATTCTTTTTCTTTTAAGACCTGAGGCTGGAGCTGAGAATGAATCTCTCTGTGTCCTGGTATCCCTGGGACATTGCCCTGCTTAGGAGACAGTACTGTGCAGAGGTTCCTGAGTATCACCTCTCCCCTGGGCATAGAGCTGCAGAGTGACGTTGCACACCCATGCAGGTGGAGAGGAAAGATTGCTTCCCAGGACTGGGGGCATCTTTCTTCCCATCCGACTTCAGGAACTGGTTATATGCTTTCTTCTTTGCAAGCTTCCGCCATCCTAATCAAATTCCACCCTTGGCTGGGACTGCCGGCCCTCACCTTTGCAGGCAGAGCACACGTCTGCCAGCTGCCAGGGTGTTGTGTGGGGGTGGTGTTTGTGTTTTGCCTGGGACACATTAGGAAGGTGGCCAGAATTGTCTGGGTTCACACTCAGTGGTGGCAGTGGCTGCCTCCACTGCTGCTCTAAGAGCCCTGACTTTTAAGGCATTTAGAGTCTGACTCAGAAAGCTGCTATCTCCTTTCAAGCCAGGACCAATTCCTCCTGTTTATGTTCCAAATCTCACTTCCCTTGTGGCCTGGGAGTTCTGACTTTTTTCTCCAGAATCATGTTGATTGGTGACTAATTGTTGAGTTTCTATGGCCTAGATAGTTGCTCTAAGATCCTAGAAGTTGTATTTAAGCGTCTTTCCTCACCTCCCTGTGTTGGACATCTCACTGCAGAGTTAAGACACTGGGATGTTGTGTTCTTTATCATCCTTGAGTATATGTTATCAGAAATATTATCAGCGCTGCCCACCTTTACCCTTACTGGTCCTTTTCCTACTTGGGACAGCAGTTGGAGGGGCTTTTGAGTCAAGCAGAGGCCGAAAGCTCAGACTTTCAGCCCCTGTGTCTCCTCAACCCAGTCATCTTTGGTGGCCATAGCTCTGGGTTCCTATCGCACCTTGTATGTACTCCAATTATCATGCCCCTTCCTGCTCTGCAGTTATATATCTGTCTTTCCTTGTTTATATATCTGTTTTTCCTTCTAGACTTCAGGCTCCGGAGGGTAGGTACTGCCTTATTCACCTCTGGTTCCCCAGAGCCCAATTGTGTTTGTCAGAAAGTGGATGTTTATTGAATGGCGAGTGAGAAAGCAAAGTTTGCTGGGCAGGGGGATAATATTCTTCTCTCCTCTTTCTGTCATGGACATTGGTCTGTCAAGATGCACCCCAGCCTTAGGTGCTTGAGCATTCTTGGCGGTGAGGCACCCTACTGTGTTATCCTCTGCCATGGGTCCTGTGGCCTGGCACCTCTGTCAAGCCAGGTCAGAAAAATACCAGCCCTCTCCTCTAGCATCTCCCTCAGAGCCAATATGATTACTGTCTACAGCATTTGGGTTTTTTTTTTTACTTCCCCTGCTACATATGAACCCCCATCCGAATCTTCCCTAGGCCAATCTGCTCTCCTGTCTAGGACCATTGTATATTGGAGCCCCAGGGCACTCAGAATCTTCCCCAGACCACCTGCAACACCATCTCTCCTGGCTCAGAAACCATTAGAAAGTGACCAGGCATCAAACCTAGCAAAAATCCTCAAGTAGTAGTTTTCTGTCACCCAACTCCCCCCCCCCCCCATTTCCCAAAACCTTAGGAGCCCACCTCCCTCTTCTTCCCTACTTTCCCCATAGGTTAAGCAGACTTCAATAACTGAAGTGGTCAGATTCTTTTATAAAAACAAGAAAAAAAAATCTAAAAAACTGAAAATAAAGACAAGAGCCATCCCTTTGCTGTGCAGGTCACAGGCATGTCTTCTCAACTCCCCTAGTGGCTTTTCCTGCCTTGTACCAAGTAGATAATTATAGCATTCGAGCACCATTTAAAAAGAATAAAAGAAATCACAGGCCGCCTCTTTGAGTCTTGGTAGCAGGCTGTTGTTTGGTCAGTCGGTCTAGGACCATGAGTTTGAATGTCTATATTACTTGAACCCTTGACTTCCCTGCCTAATTCACAACCTTGGAAAAAACAAAACCAGCAGGGCCGGGGATTTAGCTCAGTGGTTCTGCTGCCTGCCTCAAAAGCACAAGGACCTGAGTTCAATCCCCAGTACCAAAAAAACACAAAAAACAGCCATGGCCCAAGGAAAATGCTCCAAACATTGGCAAGGAGGGAGAAACCCTAGAGCCAGTTGTCACGTGGACATTTGCCGCCACCACAGAAACCAAGCGCTGGGGTAGTGACACAGGGAACCAGCATGTGTAGGTCCTGGGCAGTGAGAGGGAGGGCCCTGCTTTAAGTCTAGCAGGCTGTAGCTTCTTTGACTTCCCCCGAATTAAGGGCAGAAAGTTCTAGAAATCAGAGGTGGAGCTGCCACCCTCCCACTTCCCTCCGAGTGGGATAGGGTTGTTGTTTTGGGGGTTTGTTTGTGGTGCTAGAGAACTCAGGGCCTCAGGAATGCTAGGTAAGTGCTCTGCCACTGAGCTACACACTCAGCCCTACGGAATTACTATCCCCTCAGCTGTCCTCATTGCCTTCTGAAGAAAGAAAGAAACTAAGGAGTGGTGGACTCTGAGATGTTCCACCTGCTTCCTGCAGACTTGACTTTGGAACATGGGGACAGACAAGGCTAGTGCTTTCTCTTGGAGACCGTTTGGGCTGACAGGCCCTGTGTGGCCATGCTGTGTCTCCCCATTCAAGGTGCCATTCCAGGGACCTCCCTTCGAGCCAGCTCTGCTGGCACTCTGTCACCTCCCCACACTATCTTCCTTCCTCTGCCTCTACCTCACCTACTTTGGAGATTGCCAGCTGCTCCCTAAGAGAACCATGATAAACTGCCCGAGGTTAACACAGGCATTCTGGGGGTGCTGTGTGGCAAAGATAGGAAGGCAGCTGTGCGGTGGAAGTCATACGGCTTTGGGGACATCCAGATCTAGATTCCAGTCCCGCTTCAGTCACTTAACAACTGAGTGAACTGGGCAGTAACTGTATTTGAAAATTCTGTGAATCTCAGTTCTCTAGCATGGAGCTTCCAGCGCCCTCTTGGGGTTGTGGTTGGAATGAAATGAGGTAGCATCTGTAAAATACCTAGCCCAACTGAGTGTAGCATCTCACACCTGTATCTCCAGCACCATGTGAGGCTGCAGCAGGAGTATTCCAAGTTCCACTGCAGCCTGGGTGACTTAGCGAGACCATGTCTCAAAATAAAAAAATTTGGGCCCCGTGGATTTAGCTGAGTGGTTTCGCCGCCTGCTGCGCAAGCTCAAGGACCCAAGTTCAATCCCTGGTACCAAAAATAAATAAATAAATAATTTTAAAATTTTTTTTTAAATTTTAAGGGCTAAGGATGTAACAGTGCAAAGGCCCTGTGTCCAATCTCCAGAACATGG